GTCCCTGAGGAACTCTGCTCTTCTCGGCGCCCTCGCGAGGGAACCCGGGGTGAGGTTTTTGTGTGTCAGGGCACTTGCTTCCTTTTCTTTGGGATTCTTATTTGGGATTACTTGTACTATCAATATCACCATTATTGTCGTTATTTTTGTTGTTGTTGCTGTTATTATTACCGTTACTATATCTGGATTATTATGACCATTATCATTGTTATTGTTTTCAGTAACATTCACCAATCAGCAAGAATAACAATCTCGGTACAAACAACAGTAAAACCCTATATGATAGAAAAAGAAACATTGGTAAATTAGGCATGATTCCTTTCCCCACAATCCTCTTAACACAGTTCCCTTCGCGGCACAGGTGCGGTGGGTGGACCAACAGAAGTCGCTCATAAGAGTGAAGAGACGCGCGCCCTTTGGCCTCACTTACCGCACCAAAGCACACACTCAACGAAGCCTCGCCGAAGTGCTGAGGAGACGCCAAGAGGAGAGAGGCCGTGACGAGTCCAATCTTCTGCCGAAAGAGAGGGATTTTTGGGTTCAAGAGGATGAAGATGTTGTGGATAGATCCCGTGTGGGAGCGAGGATATCCATGCGACTGCCGGGGAGTTTTGTAAGACCGTATCGAGGTGGATATGGTGGGAAGAGAATGTCCTTTGGGAAGCGTGGATATTTAAGGGATGTTGGAGATTTGGATTCACAGCCCGATTGGGCGATGGGGAGCGAGGAGGGCGGTGCATGGACCCAAACCATGAATGGATTGGATGATCTGGCTGGCACGGGCTTGGATTTCAATGACCCTCGCTTCAAGGACCAGTGGTATTTGGTAGGTGGATTAGTTCCACCTTTGTTATATATTTTTGATCATGCATTGTATACTGTGATAACTAAACGCTTCTCTCTAACTAATGCGCCCCAGGATAATTAATTTGAGATATGAATGTGTCATATATGATGGGCGGGCACACACACACACACAAACACACACACACACCAAACACCACACACAGCACACACACACACACCAATACACACACACATACAAACATACATACACATATATATGAATATGTGTCATTGTTTTGTTGTATCTTCTCGCGTGTCTCTCCGCCCGTGTGCCATTACCATAGGGTCCTTCCTCAGCGTCCAGAGGCAGTTTCGCCACGGACCTCCGCCCGCTCTGACCTCTGACCCTCCCCCTTCCTCTCCCGCAGCACAACACAGGCCAGCTGGGTCGTGCCGGCTACGACCTGAACGTGGTCGGGGCGTGGCGTCGCGGATACACCGGTCGTGGCGTCGTGCTCTCCGTTCTCGACGACGGCATCCAGGCGGAGAACGCAGACATCGCCGATAATTACGTGGGTTCTTTTCGTCGTTGAATATCCTTGGTTAAATGGCGGAGGAACACGCGGTTTCAAGAGGAGTTTGTTAGTTGTAGACTTCTCTGAGTCGATTAATGTATCTTTTTATCTATTGCCTCCGCCAAGGAGGTTATGTTTTTAGTAGCGTTGGTTAGTTTGTTTGTTGGCTGATTAGCAGGATAACTCAAAAAATTGTGAACATTTTTTTTCCAGAGGCGCGTCTTAGCTTAACTCAGATGCCATTAAAATTTGGTGGTGACCCTGATCATGATCCGGATCCAAGAATTTTTAAAGGATTCATTAGCATTGCCAGATAAGGAAACATGGACGTTACCAGTGATTTGAATGTAATTCTTCAAGTGTGAATATTTTGTTGCATCAGTGGCCTTGGTGGAGGTATGCGCTCTGTGAGTGCTTCTAGTTTATTTATTTATTTATTTGTCTATCTGTCTATCTATTTATATATCTATTATTATATCTATCTACCTACTTACCTAACAATCTATTTATCTATATATATATCTATACATCTATCTGTCTATCTATTTATCTACTTAGTTGTCGATCTATCTATATATCTACCTATTTACTTTTCTTATTATCTACAGTATCAATTTCTGAGAAGATCCTGTATTTTTGTCCCTCGATTGGATTTCAAAATGATGCAACCCCAAAATATTGCATTTAATCAATCTAATAAAGTAAGAATAATTCACATAGGTTGATCGCACAAGCAAAGTAAATCGGTCCCTCCGTGTGCGACACCAAGTCTCGATTCCTATTTAGAAGATGTCTCGAGATGTGTGAACTCGGAACATTGTCTTATATTCATCTATATTCTCTCTCTTCGTTTCTCCTCTTTCACCTACAGTAATTTCCCTCCCTCTCTCTCTCTCTCTCTCTCTCTCTCTCTCTCTCTCTCTCTCTCTCTCTCTCTCTCTCTCTCTCTCTCTCTCTCTCTCTTCTCTCTCTCTCTCTCTCTCTCTCTCTCTCTCTCTCTCTCTCGTTCTCCTCTCTCCTTTAGCCTCCCCTTTTGTTTACCTTCTCTCCCCTCACACCCAAGCCTGCCCTTTGAGATGTGGTGTTATAGGTGCCTATGTGAAACTTGCACAGACAGAAGAAAAGATTAATTCATATTATTGCTAAAAGACGAATTCGGTTTGCTGGACGAGCTTTTCTCTTTTGTCGGATCGAGTGAAATGTTTAAATAATTTTGTCAGAGAATGAAAGATGATAAGAGAGATGAGGATTTATTCATCAAATGAAATCTATATTAATTTTGGGAGTATATCCTGATTTTTTTGGTCGATCAGTTAAGTTCAAAATGGCACAACCCATCTAATTAATGTATTGTATTTCGACTCCCGTTAATCATTATTGACGGGAGTCGAATCAACCCTATTATCATTATTATTATTACTATTATTATTATCATTATTACTATTATTGTTATCATTATTACTATCATTATTATCATTATTAGTATTATTGTTATCATTATTACTATTATTATTATCATTATTAGTATTATCATTGTCATTATTATTTACCATTGTTATTATCCTTACCACAACCGCGCAGGCGAAGGACATCAGCTTCTCCGTGGTCCGCGACGGCCAGGACCCTCGCGACGCCAGCCCGCGCCTGGACCCCGGCTTCTCCAACTCCCACGGCACTTACTGCGCCGCCGCCATCGCCGCCGTGTCCAACAACCAGGTGTGCGGCGTCGGGGTGGCCTACGACGCCAAAGTGGGAGGTGAGGCTTGGAGTGGGTTGGGGGGGGGGGTGATGCCCAGTTACACCAGTTTTGAGCTAAATAGATAGATAGATAACCATGATATGGATCTGGTTGGAAGCATGGCTGTGATTGTGGTTGTGATTGATACCAACGCTCTGAGCTAAATAGATATATTGATAAATGGAAGAATAAACAGATGAATGACAAGTAAAATAGTATAGATAAGCATATGAATAACAGATCAGTGACAAATCAGATAAATGAATAAACAAGAAAAAAAAGAGAAATGACAAACCAAACAAACGAATAAACAGACAGATAATGATAAATGATAACCAGCAACCCACAAACCCTTCTCCAGGCGTTCGCTTGGTCGACGGCTCAGTCACGGACATCCAGGAGGCGACGGCGCTGTCCCGCAACGTGGAGGCTGTGGGCGTGTTCAGCGCCTCGTGGGGGCCCACCGACGACGGCACCAAGGCCGAGGGCCCGGGCAGGTTCGGCAGGCAGGCCTTCCGCCGCGGGATTTTGGAGGTGAGGGGAAGGTGCGGGGAGTGGGAGGGGGAAGGGAAGAGGGGGAGAGGGAATAGGAGGGGAAGGGGAGAGGGTTTGGACGAGGGGGGAGGGAGGAGGGTGAGGGGGAAGGAGGGGGGTGAGGGCGAGGGGAAAGGAAAGGGGAGGAGGGGGATAGGAGGGGAGGGCGAGGGGAAAGAAAAGGGGAAGGAGAGGGGGAGAGGGGGGGGGAGGGAGGGGTGAGGGCAAAGGAGAAATGAAGAGGGTGGGGCAGGAGAGGAGTAGAGAAGAAGAGGGTGGTGAGAGCCGAAGAGGGGAGAAAAGGGGGAATTTTTTTATTTCTCTCTTCGTGTTTATTTCGAGTTGTTTATTCTTTTTTTTTTTTTTGTCATTTTGTGTGTATGTGTGTGTCCGTCCCGTAACTCCTCCCCCTCCTCCACCAGGGTCGAGGCGGCAAGGGCGTGATCTACGTGTGGGCGTCGGGGAACGGAGGGTTGGAAGGCGACAACTGTAACCTGGACGGCTACGTCTCCTCCATCTTCACCCTGGCGGTGTCTGCCCTCACGGACGCGGGCGCCTCGGTCTTCTACGGGGAGCCCTGCGCCTCGACGCTCGCGGGCGTGTTCGTGGGCGGCGAGCACACCCTGGAGGCGGCGCTGGAGAAGAGGGAAAGGCATCAGCAGGATATCCATTTGGTGAGGGAGAGGAGGAGATCTTCTGTGGGATTTTTTTTTTTTTTTTCCTTTTTGTTTATTTCAGTATTTATATTTGACTGATTCTATTCTATTATTTTGTTGAGTAATTTTATTATATTTACACTTACTTTTCCATTTATCCACCTACCTATCAATCTCATGTAGCTCTATCGCTCCCTTACCTTTTCTCCTGATTCTCACCCTCTCGTCGTCTCCCTTTCTTTAACCCTAACTCTCTCTCTCTCTTCTTGCATCGGACTGACTTTTACTCTTATTCTCTCTCTCTCTCTCTTCTCTCTCTCTCCTCTCTCCTCTCTCTCTCTCTCTCTCTCTCTCATCTCTCTTCTCGTCTTTCTTTTCTTTCTTTTTGTCTCTCTTCTTGTCTCTCTCTCTCTCTCTCTCTCTCTCTCTCTCTCTCTCTCTCTCTCTCTCCTCCCTCCCCTCTCTCGCCCTCCTCTCTCTCTCCTTCTTCTTCTTCTTCTTCTTCTTCTTCTTCTTCTTCAATCAGCCTGACCGCTATCCTTGCTGCCCCCGCCAGGTCGTCCCCGAGTTGGACGGTCACTGCAGTAGCTCCTTCCAAGGCTCCTCGGCCGCCGCGCCCCTCATGGCAGGCGTGGTCGCCCTCGTGCTTCAAGCTAAGTGAGTAAAATCTGATTCTCAGTCGTTATATCACGATTCTCAGTGATTATGTCAGATTAGTCAGATCAGTGCTAACCCTAGTACTGTTTAGTCTATCCAGTTGTAGTATAACGTGCTGGTGTAACATCTCAGACTTTATCACGAATAGTTACCTTTATACTTCGAGTCAAGTAAATAATATTTGGTTATTAACGTTTATGTTAGATTTATTTATCATTCCTAACATCAGTATTAGAGAGTAGTTTAATCGGTCCTAACTTTTATACTGCTTAGCCTAACCAACTGTAATTTAAGTTGTGTTGTGGTACAGGTCAGTTTGTGTCAGATTTTGAGTAACGTGTAAAGCACTCTGATATTTAGTATTCTAAGCTTGATATGATCTTTGAATAAGGTGTGTTTTTCATTTATGTACTTATATATTTACGAATCTATTTATCCATTGTTTCTATGATTTTATTTAGGACTAGGACAATTAAATTTTAAGGTAATTCTAATTCAATGATTTTACAAGGTCTCTCCTATCCCCAATATCCTCTTCTAATTATCTCCGTCCTGCAAGTAGGACAAGAAACTTTCCCCATTTTCACTCATGTCATGTCATGTCACATCTCCTTTAGTCCTTCCCTGACATGGCGCGACGTGCAGCACTTGGTCGTCCGGACAGCGCGACCCACACGAGAAGCAGCTACGGAGGCCGGCTGGCAGACCAATGGCCTTGGGAGGCAGTTCCACCTGATGCAGGTGCTTTGTCCTTTTTTCTCTCTCTTGTATTAGCTTTGTTGATCCTTTTGTGTTTATTGGTGCTTTCGTTTTTGTTTTTGTTAATGGAGGTGAATTATATTTATACTTTTGGTGTATTCGATTTGTCTATTTGTTTCAGGTAATGTTTTCTGTTTTAAATCTATTGTTGACTTATGCTGGTTTCTCTCTCTCTCTCTCCTTCTCTCCCTCCCTCCCTCCCTCCCTCCCTCCCTCCCTCCCTCCCTCCTTCCTCCCCCTCCCTTCCCCTCCCTCCCTCCTCCCTTCCCTCCTCCCTCCCTCCCTCCCTCCCTCCCTCTCCTCTCCTCTCCCTCTCCCTCTCCTCTCCTCTCCTCTCCTCTCCCCTCTCCCTCTCCCTCTCCCTCTCCCTCCCCTCTTCCCTCTCCTCCTCCCTACCTCCTTCCCCTCTCTTTCTCACTCACTCACACTCTTTGCCCATTTTCAGGGCTACGGAGCAGTCGACGCAGGCAAATTAGTCGAAAGTGCTCTGAGCTGGGAAAATGTGGGGCCGCAGAAAATCAGGTCGATAAAGATGTTCGACGGTTACAGGTAAAACAAATGAAAGAAAGAAAGACAGATAGACAGACAGACAGACAGACAGACAGACAGACAGACAGAAAGAAAGAAAGAAAGAAAGAAAGAAAGAAAGAAAGAAAGAAAGACAGACAGACAGACAGACAGACAGACAGACAGACAGACAGACAGACAGACAGACAGACAGAAAGAAAGAAAGAAAGAAAGAAAGAAAAAACAATTGACTAAATACAGTTTTTTCTCATGTTTTCAATGTCGTGACGTCTTGGGTGCTTTCTATCGTTCTCTTATCAGCACGGGATGAAATAACTGAAACACAGCAGTAAAGGAAATACATAGAATAAATTTAGCATTTTGTACTGTGACATCATTTCATACATCATGTTATTATTGAATTTGATTTAAGTGAAAATTTTGGAAATTGATATTAATGAATATCATTGTAAATCAAGGCAGAGATGAAACATCTTTTTCTCAACAATTCGAACGAAAAATTTGTAACTTCATGATATTAAAAATTATCCTAAATTATAACTGCAATGATATATGTTTCTCAATTTGTCTCGTCTATCTTGTATCAATATCTAACTATTAATGTATATTTTTTAGGCCTATTCCTCCCAACGACTGGCTAAACATTACGGGGAAACTTGAGTCAACGAATTCTATGGTGGCGGTCGAGCATGTGGTGGCCAACATAACACTCTCGCATAAGCAGAGAGGGATGCTGAGGATCTACATCGTGTCGCCATCAGGTAAACAGATAGATAGATGGGTGGACAGATAGATAGGTAGGTAGGGAGAGAGAGAGGAGAGAAAGGAGAGAGAGGAGAGATAGATAGATAGAGAGAGAGGTGGGGGGAAGAGAGAGAGAAAAAAGGAAAGAGGGAGGGAGGGAGAGAGAGAAAGAGAGAGAGAGAGAGAGAGAATTATAATATTTTCATAAATTATGGTGCGGAATTTGTATGTGTGTGCGTGTGTATGTGTGTATGCGTGCGTTTGTATGTATCTATACATGCACACGTATACATTTCTGCGTGCGTGTGTACCCAAATAAGCCTCCAAAACCACGCCACGACCTTACTGCCTCCCCATTGCTTGCAGGCACCGCGTCCCAGGTCCTGACTCACCGACGCCGAGACAAAAGCACTTCCGGATTCACTCGCTGGGGCTTCATGTCAGTTCACTTCTGGGGCGAAAATCCCGAAGGACGCTGGGCCGTGGCGATCAAGGACGACTCGGGACTCAAAGGAAGTCTCAGAAAAGTGGACTTTGTGGTCTTTGGGGCGTGACAGGAGGCGGAGGGGGCGGAGGGTTGAGATCCTGCGAGAAGTCGTTTGGCCAATGGGTTTTCGGGGTTTTCGGGGCTTTTGGGGCGTGTCAAGTCATTTGGGTTTTGTTGTTGTTGTTTTCTTTTCCCATTTTCTTTCTTGTTTTTCTTGCTGTTCTTCTTCTCCTTCTTTCATTCTTCTTTGTCGTCTTTTTCTTCTTTTTATTTTCTTACTCTTTTCTCTTTTTCTTCCTTTTCTTTCCTTCTACTTCTTCATTTTTTCTTGTTCGTATGTGTTTGTATCAATTCAGGATAATTATAAAGTAAACTTGACACTTGTCGTTCATTGCAATCTTATTTGTATTCAATACTATTTTGTTATGTGACACTGTATACTTGATACACATATATTTGATATTCATGAGTGATTTTCAGATTTTATTTTGGCAATTTTCTATGTGTAGTACAAAAAATAGCTAGGAGATATTCGGCTACATTAGATGTTCTATTTAAGAAAATTAATTATTCATCTCGTATTCATACAAATAATTTGATCCAATTTAAATTAATTTTTGTTTTTTCTATCGTCTTCATAGTCATGTTAGTGATTTTATACATAAGATACTTGCAAGTAGCATTTAAAGATGCTACTTGCAAGTATCTTATGTATAAAATGATAATTATCTAATGGCTAACACACACACACACACACAAACAAACAGACATAATAAACACACACAGAAACATATTCATAAATATGTGTGTGGGCGTGGGTTTGCTGTAATATGATCGTCATGACGTTTAGATGTGATTTCCTGATAAATAAAAATGGCCAAAGCAAAAAGAATTTTTTTTCACGCTCTCTAACTTATTCCTCAGTTAGTTATGGTGTATAAAATTATACAAGAGAAAGAAGAAAGAAAGAACAGGAAAGAGAGTGGGAGGGAGAGAGAGAGAGAGAGAGAGAGAGAGAGAGAGAGAGAGAGAGAGAGAGAGAGAGAGAGAGAGAGAGAGAGAGAGAGAGAGAGAGAGAGAGAGTGTGTGTGTGTGTGTGTGAGAGAGAGAAAGATGGAGAGAGAGAGAGATTATACGTATGGGTGTGCATGCATTTACATGCCTTCAGATGTAATACATACATGTGTAGACTTTATTTTCATATTTCCTAAGGTTAAATCATCAACAATAACTTCATTATTCTGTAATAAAACCAGTAATTTTTCTTTTAAAAACAGGTGTTGAAATTCTTAGATTCTATTTCTTTAACAATAAGGCTACTGAAACCATGACATTCCTCCATATTTTATTATATATAATACCAATCAGTCTTATATGTGGTACATATTGGAAAGAGTCCTGTGATAAATATACATATATCTTAAAAAGATATTTTGATTTTTCAGCTTACTGCAAAACAAAAACATGTTAAAAAATAAATAAGGGTTAATATCAGTTTTTACTACTAAACATAAATCTAACTATCCTTTAACTGTTTTAGTGTTGTCTGTTTAACATAACAACTCATTGGGCCTTTAATTTTCTATTTATTTTGGGGTCCTGCATTTTTTGTCACTGTCTTAGAAATTCAAAATCACACTCATCATAGGCCTTTGATTTTCTATTTATTTTGGGGTCCTGCATTTTTTTTTTTTTTTTTTGTCACTGTCTTAGAATTCAAAATCACACTCATCCCTAAGTTTTTTGTGTGTTTCTAGTATGAGACAAAAACACTGAAGGTCAGAAAATTTCTAAATAAATACTATTCTTGTGTTTTTTGTTTGGATGAGATGATTAGAAATCGTAAAGTATTCTACCAATGACAAAAGGTATAAGTATGTCTCTGGAAGGCGTAAATTTAGTATAATATTTAGCCAACAGTATGAATTGATACTTATTTTCCTTCGCGGAACAGACATATGGGGTTATATTCTCTTCAGAAGAAAAGTTTCATATTCTTGGTGAAATCTCCTTGAGACCCCAACTCTTCAAGAACTTCAGAACTACAGGTATAACATTCTTATAAACTTCAGCCTTTAACTTCCTCTCTCCTCCGGCTTAAAAACATCCTTTCACTATACCAAATAACAAGATGAGCAGAACCTACAAACAAGAACATAACATGAACGTCACGAGGTTACACAATAGGTCCTTCACCAAAGAGGGACGTGGCGTGTTCATAACATGTCTTAAGGAAAATGGAGAGAAAACATCTCACAGGGGGAGGGGGGGACTAAAGAAAAGAAGAAAAGGGGGGTAGAATAGCCCTTCCTCTTAACCAAACAGGAGTCCCAGACCGGGAGAAGAGAAGACTTGCCTCCTGTCGCAGTCCTCGTCGTCATCCATTCTGTGACGGTGGATATTCATCAGCAGATGGCTGACAGTGTGGACCAGGCCGTTGCGTGTGGGTGAGGAGCAGTGGGTGATGCGTGCGGGGCCGGCCATGAGTCTGCCAGAGTTGGTGCGGCGGACGTGAATGGGCGAGCCGTTGAGCGTCCTCTTGTGGTCCATGAAGAGCCAGGTGTTGGGGTTGATGCCAGTGCAGCACAGGTGCTCTGGGGGAGGGAGAGGGGGCGAGTGAGCGAGGAGGGAAATGAGGGAAGGAGAGGGCGATGAGTGAGGGAGGAAAGGAGGAGTGAGTGAGGGAGAGGGGATAAGCATAAGGGTGGAAGGGAGAGAGAGGGAAGGAGGGAGGGAGGGTGGCAAGGTGAGAGAGAGGGAAGGAGGTGTGGGAGTGAGAGGGAGGGTGTGAAAGAAGTAAGGAAGGGAAGGATGAGGGATAGAGAGAAAGAAAAGACCTTGCTAACGTTCCAAAACGAACAAATATCTCACAGACGATAATCTTAGAAACATCTATCAACATCCCCCACCCTATCACCTTATCTGCATTTACCTTCCATAATATGCTGCGTGACGAGTTGCTGCTGAAGCTCTTGATCTTCCAACAGCTGGTTCAGTTCCTCTTCAGGGAGAATTCTGAAGACGTGATCCGATGGAGCCAAGACGGTGAAAGGTCCGTCTTCTACCAGGGTCTCATTGAGGCCAGTATCCTGTGGCATTATTATATTTCTTGTGACTGATGATATTGAGTAACTTTTTTTTACATTGCACATTGAATGATATATATATATATATATATATATATATATATATATATATATATATATATATATATATATATATTTATTTATTTATTTATTTATATATATATTGGTGACATAAGAAAGAAATCATTAAGAACAAAGAAAAAATTTAACATAAGAAAGATTATTAAGAACAGCAACAAAAATCAACATAAAGAGACCATTAAGCACAACAAAACAACATAAAAAAGAGATTGATAACAACAACAAAAATAAACATCAGAAAAATCACAAAAAAGTAAATAAAAAACCCACTCTTCACTCCCCGTGACTCCCACACCACACTCCTCCCTTCACCCTTCACCCTTCACCCAAAGCCATACCTTCAACATCTTGGTGAAGATGGAAAAGTCTTCATTCGATTCGAGAAGATCCATGACGTTGACCTTCGGCACGACCAGCATCTTCTCGACCACATGGACGACGGCGCCGCATGCGCGAGAGTCCAGCGCTGACACGTGGCTGCACCCGGCGGTCATGCGCACGCTCGGGTGGCGTCTCCCCATGCTGATGAGGCCCGAGAGAAGGGGGGACTGGAGGGGAACAGAGGACATAGGAATATGGAAATAACGAGGTGTTGAATATTGAATAATGAAATACAGAAATGCAGAAGGAACAGAGAAGTAGAGAAATATAGAAAAAATGAATTTTGAAATATACAAATATAGAAGAGAGATAGCATATAGAAATACAGAAAATAGAAATATAGAAACATGGAATATTGAAATATCTGCACTAACTATATATAATTCTCAGGCCATAAAAGATTTAAAATCAGGTTGGACCCCCAACACCCCACCTTATTCAACGTAGAGAGAAGGGGAGACTGTGGGGAAAGAATGAAAATGTTAATAAAAGTTTTAAACATAAAAAGGTAAATGAATCGTCAATGGAAGATGAATGGCCGTAAAAAAAGATAAGAGGAGAAGGAGGAAGAAGAACAAGAACTGGAGGAGGATGACGAAAAGTGAAGAAGACGAAGAAAACGACGACGACGAAGAAGGAGATGAAGAAGATGAAGTTGAAGAAGAAGAACAAGAACTGAAAGACGACGACAAAGGGGGTGAAGATGAAGGTGAAGAAGATACAGAAAAAGAAGAAGAGCTCTTTTGTAATCTTATCAAACAACAATAAAGTTTTATCTGGTCCCATACATCAGAAGTTTTTCTTTCTTAAAATCTCCCTGGCCACATACGCCAAACCAAAGTTTATCTTCCCACGTTTCATCTTTTTCTTACTTTTTTTCTTCCTTATTCCCCCACTCCCACACCGCCGCAGACACAGCCTTACCCTTGAATAGAGATTGATCCTGAGGGGATGGTCAGCTCGAGTCGTGGCGATGTGGTTGTTGGAAATGTCGCTGGCTTTGAGGGTTGGAGTCGCCATGTGGTACTGAAGAATCTCGCGAAGTCTGTCCGGATCGTTCTGGAACAAAAAAGGAATTGGATTTGTTGAAGGGTTGTATCAGAGGTGTTGTATAAGGTATGAGGATGATTCTGCAAAGGGTATTTGTGTGTAATTACAGTGTTACATCTTTTAAAAAAACAGTTTGGTCCTTAAAATAAAAACAAACTTTATATTAACGGTACTGTAAACAAAATATAATTTCCACATAACATAACTTCCCTTAACACATCAACGCAACACACATTCCGCATAATACAACACTCGACCAATTCCACATCATATATTCACAAGACAATACTACACTAACTCACCAACATTAAACATAGTATAACACTCCACCTACCACACGAATCCCTCCAACATCCCACACACATCACTAACCACAAAAAGCCACCACCATTCCACATAAGACAGCTCCACCAATCACACTTACCCATCAACATTCCGCATAATATAACCTCACCTGCTTTCCACACCAACCACACAACATTCCACATAACACATCACTCCACCAACCACACATTCCAAATAACATGTAACTCCAACAACCACACAGCATTCCACATAACACATCACTCCATTCCACATGTAACTCCAACAACCACACAGCATTCACATAACAAATACTCCACCAACAACACAGCATTCCGAAGCATTCGACCCACTTCACCCACACAATCCCCACCCACACCCCATCCCCAAATAACCTCCACCCCCCCCCACACACACATCACACACACTATAACCTTACAATGATATTCTCCAAGACTTCCTCGGGGATCTCGTCCACGGCCCTATTGCTCGGGGCGAAGACAGTGACATCCGTGAGGTCCTTGAGTTCGTCCAACATGTCAGCTGCTTCCAGGAGGTCCATGAAGCGGGTGAGGTTGTGGGCCTCGAGGACTTCGAGCAGAGGCTTGGCTGCGGGAGAGAGGAATTGCGTGAGGGTTTGTACGTATTTTCTTGTTTCTTTTTTATTATCTGATCATGTTTAAAATTATCATAAATATGGACATTTTTTTCGAGAAAGATTATCTTTTTCTTTTCGGATCATGAAAAATTGTCATAATCTGTATTTTTTTCTCGTTCTTTCCTTCTCTTTCTTTTTTCTGAAAGTGAAGAATTAATATAATCTAAACTTTCTTCCGATCGTTAAAATCGTCGTAAATTGGATTTGAAATAAAAAAATATTGGGATTTTTTTTTTTCTTTTTCGTGTATTGTGATCAGGGAAAAAAATAATCAAAATCTGGACTTCAAGTAAAACCTTGGCTGCTAGATACTTTTTTTTACAATGAAAAATCATCATAATCCCGATATGAATACAGATTCGGCAGCGAGAGACAGAGAAATTCCGAGAGGATGAAACAAAACGAGGAAAATGCTCACCTTCCTGGGGCATCAGGGGGCCGCTGACCACGTGCAGGACGCCGTTGGTTCCCACGACGTCCCTCTCCAGCACCTCAGCATCCCCGACGAAGATCTCGTTGTCTTCGGTCTTCTCGAGCATCAGATAGCCGTCGAGGAGGTTCACCGTTCGAGCTTTTCCTTGAACGGCGGCCGAGCAGATCACGTTGGGCAGAATGTGGCTCTTGATGACAGCTGAGGAGGAAATTGTTCGTTCAGGTTCATTGCAGAGAGAGAGAAGTGGTATGGGGGAGAAGGAATAACTATAAATACAAATGCTAAAAAATGTATGGCTACGTGTAGAACCATATAGAACTATGTAGATCACGTGAGGATAAGTAGAGTTACACATCTAAAACACATGTAACAAAATTCCGAGTAAACTGTAAACAAGCATACACCCTCGCAAAAAAGTAACACAAAAACACACATAAACATACATACACAAACCTCAGTACACACAACAACATAAAACCCAGCAAAGACACACATACACCAAACATCCCCCTAAACACAAGCACCCCCCAACCCTCCACACAAACCCCAACCCTCACCCCCGCACACGCCCTTACCATCGAGACAGGCGCTGCCCTCCAGAAGGCCCTCCAGAGAGACACGTTCCCGAAGGCGTCGTCGGTTGGGGCGAAGAGGGTCAGCTGCCCGGGCTCCTGCAGGGTCTTCATCATGTCGGCGCGGGTCAGGACTGTGGCGCAATGAATGAGTGAGCGAGCGGGATTGGGAATGGCGAATGAGTGGGTGAGTGAGTGGGATTATGAGTGGAATTGTGAATGGGTGAGTAAGTGGAAAGATGAATGGGTTGAATAAGTTTCGTGTTCGCTTTTGGTTTTGTCTTTTGTGTATCTTATCAAATAATCATCATGAATGAATAGATTTTTAACTTTTCATTGGATTTGTTATTCATTTTAAGTGGGTATTTTTGGGCTATATTTTAAAGGATAATCTGTAAATCAATGAATAAATATTTTCTTTTTTTTCTTTTCCATTTTATATTAATCTATTTATCTAATTGCGTGTGTATTTTGATTACTGCTTAAATCTACGCAGTAATCACGTTGATTGTCCTAAATGTATATCTAGCTCCTATAATAACTAAACCAAAAAGGATGTATGATAAAATGATAGATAAATAGATAAAAAAACAATCCATCTTATAGAATAAGGGTTAAAAAAATCCTACTTAACCCACATACTGTAAGGCTTATACTCAATAAAAAAAATCAATAAAAAATCCCGCTACCTAACCCAATCCTGCTACCTAACCCACCTTATTCGCTATAAAAAAAATCCCGCTGCCTAACCTACCTTATTCAATAAAAAAAAATCCCGCTGCCTAACCTACCTTATTCAATAAAAAAAAATCCCGCTACTTAACCCACATTCTACTATATGGCTAATACTACAATCCTCTTTACATTTCCTCTTCCCTCTCCGAATCCACTCCACACTCACGCTGCCTCAGAATGGAGAACTCGGGCCTCGACTCCACCAGCTCAGCCAGGGTCCTGGTGACGGGTCGCAGGACGCGGTCGATGGTGTGGACGACCCCGTTGGCCGAGTGCTGGTTGATTCCCACGATCCGGGCGCAGTTGATGGTGGCCGTGGGCGGGAGGGTGCTGTAGGTGTTCACCCTGAGAGTGGATCCCTTGGCCATGCTGTTGAGGACCTGTGGGAAGAAGGCGGAGGGTGAGAAGGTGGAAAAAGGGTGGGGGGGAACGTCGAATGTGAGTGGGAGAGGTTTGGAAAAAAGAAAGAAGAGGAAGAAGAAAAATATATGTGTATTTTCTTTCTTTTTTTATTTATCACACGTGTTTCCCTGACCTGCTCGTCCTGCAGGTCGCCGCTGTAGTGGACGCCCTTGGTCACGTGCGCGAGGACCAGCTCCTGCGTGTCAATGGAGCGGCGGCGGCGGTAGACAACCTCGTTGAAGGTGCGGTTCTCGTCCAGGCCGTTGTCGAACTCGTTCTGGAGCAAGGGGTTGGCCGTTATAAGAAGGTTTATGTTTCTCTCTCTCTCTCTCTCTCACTCTCTCTCTCCTCGTCTCTCATGAGATGAGGATAACAATAACACAACAAAAAGAAAAGCAACAGCAACAACAACAAAAATAATGATAATGACAGCAACAACGGCAATAACTGATAAAAACAACAATCCCAGCAGCAGCAACAACAAAATCCTACCTCGGCCTCCAGATCGACGGTGAACTCCTGCATGGCCTCGTTAGAGGGCACAAACAGCGTGATGTTTTCTCGCAGAATCTTCTCCATGTTGACGGACTTGGTGAGCGACAAGAAGTCTGTTGCCCCGATGTTCTGCAGCGTCTCCGGGAGGTCTTGCAGTTGCACTAAGGAGAAAGAGAAGAAAGTAGTGAAAGGGGTAGGGTTTAGGTTAATGTTTTGACTCATTGGATCTTATACGTATGTATACACCACGCATACGTACATAGATACATACTTACATAGATACATTTATTTCTAACTTCAAATCTCACCTCTTGAACATCCACTTGGCGTCTTGGCGAAACCATGGCAACATCTGTAGGTCACTTTCACTGTCTTGTTGATTCCACGTCGAGAAGTTCTGTAGGAATTCATGAATGAATAAATATAGGTGATGAGTGTGGCATGTATGAGTAGGATATTTGGAGTCTCTCTCTCTCTCTCTCCCTCTCTCTCTCTCTCTCTCTCTCTCTCTCTCTCTCTCTCTCTCTCTCTCTCTCTCTCTCTCTCTCTCTCTCTCTCTCTCTCTCTCTCTCTCTCACACACACACACACACACACACACACATACACACACACACACAACATACACGCCTACCAACCCCTCCACCCAAGCCCCCCTCTCCTCCCACACAACCCACTTCCTCTCATAAATCAGGAGAAAAAATCTCATCATTTCCTCTTCACTCCAGCCTCCGGCTCTCTCCTCACTCACTCACCCGCAGTTCCGGTCTGCTTGCCACGCCAGTCACACAGACAGACACACGCAGATAGCCACATATAGAGACACACATACACATAGATACAAACAGACGCATACACACACACACAGACTCATAGACACATATAGATAGGTACAAGCAGACAAGTGCAGACAGATACACACAGCCAGACACACGCCAGACATAAACAGACAAACACATACAGACAGACATAGACATATATGTAGACTAGCACATTCAGCTACTTAAATATAATGAAAGATAACTGCAATGTATTTGGATTGCTACTACTACTACTACTAACAGTGCTGCCATTACTACTTATAATATCAATAACAATGATAATAACATTACTCTTGTTATCACTATCATTATTATCATCATATCCATTACTATTATTATAATGACACTACAACAACTGCTACTCTCAATAATAATCTAAATGTCCTAAAAATAACAAAAATAACAGATATAGCTAACCAACTCAATCAGTCATACAAACAAACAGAACAAACACAAAATAATAGTAACAGACACAAGAAAACCGAACAAATGGGAAAAAAAATTACAACTAACCAACTCACTCACGCACTCATTCACTCACACTTAATCAACAACAGCAGCAACAAAATCTTTCCTTTTTTCTTTTTCTTTTTGCTCCGCATAAACAAATATAACTAACCAACTCACTGACGCACTTAATCAACCAACTAACCAACCAAAAAAAAAAAAAAAATCATACTTTTCCCCCCTTTTTTCGTCCTCCCTCCCTCCGCCCCACTCACTTTGTCGTGCAGGTGTATTTATCGGCCGTTTCTTGACATGACGTGACCTCCATCTGGCCGAAGGAGAAGATGAAGGACGACCCGGACGAGGAGGCTTGACCCGCGTCCACGTCGGTCCGGCCCTCGTCGATCTCCTCCTGGTCCACGCACACGTTCGGTCTGTGTCGGGTGGGGGGGGGGTATTGTTGTTATTATTATTGTCATTATCATTTAGATGTTGAGGAGATGGGTGTGTATTAGAGGAGGAAGGAGGGAGGGAAAAGAGGGAAGGAGAGAAAGAGGGGAGGAGGAAAAGAGGAAGGAGGGAGGGAAGGAGGAAGGGAAGAGGGAGGAAGGGAGGAAGGGAGGGAAGGAGGGAAGGAGGGAGGAGGGAGGGAAGGGGGGAGGAAGGGAGGAGGGAGGGAAGGAGGGAAGGAAGGAGGAGGGAGGGAAGGGAGGGAGGAAGGGGGAGGGGGGGAGGAGGGAAGGAGGGGAGGGGAGGAGGGAAGGAAGGGAAGGGAGGGAGGGAAGGAAGGAAGGAAGGAAAAGGAGGAGAGAGAGCGAGATTTGAGAGAAAGAAAAAGAGAAATACAGAGAGAGACAGAACCAGAAAGAGAGAAAACGAACAGGAAATATATCTTTGCCTTTACTTAGACCACCAAATTTCTAACAAACATCATTGAATAAAATACGTTTACTCCTTTGTTCGTTCAAGCATCAAGCATTAAGCAATCCGTAAGCAACAAATCGCAGTGAAAATTCGGCTAAAATTCCAACCAGTCAAGAAGCGAGAAATTTTGCTCGGTGTTTTCCCGCCAAAATACGGTACACTCCATCGCAACCAAGATGAAAAATATGACATATTCATGTTTTTTTATGGCATTCTATCTTCTTTTATCGTTTAATTCTTTCTCATCACTGATTTATATATTTCATGAGAGAGAGAGAGAAGAGAGAGAGAGAGAAGAGAAGAGAAGAGAGAGAGAAGAGAAGAGAGAGAAGAGAGAGAGAAAATACAGGAAAAGAAGAATGAGAGAGAGGAGAGAGAGAGATAAGAACGAGGAAAGAGAGAGAGACGGGGCTCTGACCGCGCCGAAATCCACGGACGCGCGCGGTCTCTCATGCACAAACCAGACCGCTATACAAGGAAATCGGTCTCGCGCTCTCCAGCGCATGACCGAACGAGGGGGGGGGTAGACGTGGAGGTAAGGGGTAGGGGGAGGTAGGCTGGGGGGTAAGGAGGTAGGTAATGGGGGTAGAAGGGAGGGAGTTAATTTGGGGGGACATAAGGGGTAAGGGAGGGGAGGGTAGATGGGAGGGGGGAGGTGACGGTATGGGGTTGGGGGATAAGGGGTAGTAGGGAGGGGGGAAGGTAGAGGGAGGGTAGGGGTAGGTAGAAGGGAGTTGGGAGATGCAGTTGGGTAGGTGAGACAAGGGGGTAAGGGGAGGAGAGGAAGCGGGGTAGGGGGGAGGGGCGTTGTTCTCTATCCATCCAAGAATGAGAGAGGGAGGGGGGGTAGGAAGGGCTGGAGACCAACTGTTTGTGTAACGTAAACAAGAACCAAAAAACAAAACAAACAATAACTAAAAACAATGCAAAAACAAAGTCACAACAAACGAGAAAAAAACAGACAGAACACAAACAAACAAAACAATTCAAAACAACAAAAGAAAACCGACAGGTGTCACTTGTCCTTTTTCTTTTTTTTTTTTTTTTCTTCACCAAAGGACGTGAGTTAAACCTCGGGATTAGCGAGAAGGACATGTGCAGAGGCCTTTGTCATGAAACATGCCGAGGGTTATCTTTTATGGGCCGAGGAAGAGAGAGAGAGAGAGAGAGGGAAGGAGAAGGAAGGAAGAGAGGGAGGGAGGAGAGGAGGGAAGGGAGGAGGAGAGAGGAGGGAGAGCAAGGAGGAGAGGAAAGGAGAGAGGAGAAGAGAGAGGAGAGAGAGAGAGAGAGAGAGAGAGAGAAGAGAGAGAGAGAGGAAAGAAAGAAGAGAGAGAGAGAGAAGAGAGAGAGAGAGAAGAAAGAAAGGAGAGAGAGAGAGAGAGAGAGAGAGAAGAGAGAGAGAGAGAGAGAGAGAGAGAGAGAGAGAGAGAGAGAGAGAGAGAGAGAGAGAGAGAGAGAGAGAGAGGAGAAGAGAGAGAGAGAGAGGGAGAGAGAGAGAGAGAGAGAGAGAAAGAGAGAGAGAGAGAGAAAGGAAGAAAGAGAGAAGAGAAGAGAGAAGAGAGAGAGAAGAGAGAGAGAGAGAGAGAGAGAGAGAGAGAGAGAGAGAGAGAGAGAGGAGAGAGAGAGAGAGAGAGAGAGAGAGAGAGAGAGAGAGAGTAGAGAAGAGAGAGAGAGAGAGAAGAGAGAGAAAGAGAGAGAGAGGAGAAGCAGAGAGACAGACAGACAGAAGAGAGAGAGAGAGAGAGAGAGAGAGAAGAGAGAGAGAGAGAGAAGAGAAGAGGAGAGAGAGAGAGAGAGAGAAGAAAGAAAGAAGGAGAGAGAGAGAGGAGGAGAGAGAGAGAGAGAGAGAGAGAGAGAGAGAGAGAGAGAGAGAGAGAGAGAGAGAGAGAGAGAGAGAGAAGAGAGAAGAGAAAGGAGAAAGAGAAAGAGAGAAAAGAGAAGAGAGAGAGAGAGAGAGAGAGAGAGAAGAGAGAGAAGAGGAGAGAGAGAAGAGGAGAGAGAAGAGAGAGAGAGAGAGAGAGAGGAGAGAGAGAGGAGAGGAGAGGAGAGAGAAGAGAGGGAAAGCGGGAGGAGAGGGAGAGAGAGGGAGAGAGAGAGGAAAGAGAGGAGAGAAGAGAGAAAAGAGAGAGAGAAAGGAGAGAGAAAGAGGAGAGAGAGAAGAGAGAGAGAGAGAGAGATGAGAGAGAGAGAGAAAGAGAGAGAAGAGAGAGAAGAGCGAGGAGAGAGAGAGACCCACCCACATGCTGAGGTCCATAAGATCTGGTTCCCTATGCTTGGGGCATCCTGTTTGCATTTACCGCCGAACAATATATCATGGGAGGGTGGGAAGGGGAAGGGAGGAAGAGGGGAAAGAGGAGGGGTTTGAAAAGGGGGAGGGGGAGGGAAGAGAAAGAGGAAGGGAGGAAGGAGGAGGACAGGGAGGAGGGAGGGGCGAGGGAGAGGGCAGG